GGGGGGCGGCGGAGGAACCCTAACGGCTCAGCCTCCTTCTTCCCCGCAGCTCATCGAGTACGCCAAGCTGGGGGACACCAACGAGCGCGCCATGCGCATGGCGAATTTCTGGCTGACGGTAAGTACCGCACCCCACCAAATCCCTCCCTGCCCGCCACAATCGTGGTGCTGGAGCTGAGTGTGCCGCCCCGCAGGAAAAGGACCTCATCCACAAGCTGTTCAAGGTGCTGGCACCCCGCTTCCAGCCTCATCCCGGCAGCTACACCCGCATGCTGCAGATCCCCAACCGGGATAGCCTTGACCGCGCCAAGATGGCAGTCATCGAGCTCAAGGGGAACCCCTACCCACCGCTCATCCGCCCACAGCTCAACACCGAGAAGACACTGCTCAACCAGCTCCTGAAAGGCTACCGGGAGGACATGCAGCGAGCAGCAACCCCAGAAGCCCCCGAGGGCACCCCTGTCTAGGCATCCCCCGCTGCCCTGAGGGAGGCCCTATGCACACACAGAGATGGGTCTTGGCCTGAGCTGCATGTGCACCAGACAGCTTGTTGCTGTGCTGGAGCACAGGATGGCCCAGGAAGTCTGAAAGTTGATTACTAAGCTTGAATTGCCTTGATGGGGGGCATAAGCTCAAGGCTTACTTCTTCTGTGGTTTGAAGCAAAAGAAGGAAATCAAGCTGAGAGCCCTCATGGTTAACAGTTTCTGTGTAAATAAACTGTTCAGAAAATGTGTTTACTTCTATTTGGATTATAATCCTGTGCACACAGAATCGTGGAATATTTTGGGTTGTAAGGGACCTTAAAAATCATCCAGTTCCACGCCCCCTGCCATGGGCAGGGACACCTTCCACTAGACCAGGTTGCTCAGAGCTCTGTCCAGCCTGACCTTTGAGATTTCCCAGGGAGGGGGCAGTCACAGCTTCTCTGGGCAACCTGTGCCAGTGTCTCACTACCCTCACACAGTAAAGAATTTCTTCCTTATATCTAATCTAAATCTACCTGCTTTCAGTTTAAAACTGTTTCCCCTCTTCCTAACACTACACCCCCTGATAAAGAGTCCCTCCCTATATTTCCTGTAGGCCCTTTCAAGTACTGGAAGGCTGCTAGAAAGTCTGGGTAGGGGAGGTGCTCCAGCCCCCTGATCATCTTTGTGGCCTCTGAATTTGCTCGAGCAGGTCCATGTCTTCCTTACACTGAGACACCCCCCCCAGAGCTGGACACAGCACTGCAGGTGGGGTCTCACAAGGACAGAGTAGAGGGGGAGGAGCCCCTCCCTCAACCTGCTGGCCACACTTTTGATGCAGCCCAGGGCACGTTTGGCTTTCTGGGCTGTGAGTACATGTGGCTGTCTCATAGTTTTCCATCCACCAATACTGCCAAGTCTCTCTCCACAGGGCTGCTCTCAATTCACTCATCCCCCAGCCTGTATTTGTGCTTAGGATTGCCCCAACCCATGTGCAGCACCTTGCACTTGGTGCGGTTCACATGGGCCCACCTCTCCAGCCTGTCCACGTCCCTCTGGATGGCACATCCCTTCCCTCCAGTGTGTTGACTGCACCACACAGCTTGGTGTCATCAACAAACTCGCTGAGGGTGCACTCGATCCCACTGTCCGTGTCACCAACAAAGATGTTAAAACAGCACTGTCACGTCCCGCTCAGAGGGAAACAAGTGACTCAGATTCGCATATCCCCAGTGGAGCAGACAAGGGGGAGTCAAGACTCAAAGTCCCAACATTTATTAACTACCCACAATGTATTACTTGGACACATGACAATTGGCTAAATATATGAGTTATGGCAAGCAATACAGTATGCCTTATGTTACTTATTGGTAGTGAAGAAAAAATGAAATAAAGGAGATAGAGGGAATAGAGAAAATAGAGATCACTGATAAGGGTTTCTGCATTGATCCCACCACTGAGGGTTCCAGGAGGCATCCATCTTCTTCACTTCACTGCACTCCCCGGGCCCCCAACCCCTCTTCCCACCTCCTTGATTTATACACACTTTCCTTGGGTCTGTCCCCTCGGTCAAACTACATAGCTACTTATCCCATGTATAGGCAGGGGTGTTTCATGGGATGATGTCATTAGCATGATCTTGTTAGTCTTTGTTAGCATATTGAGGGGTGTTAACCTCAATATGCATTTCATTGATAATTAAGCAAAGTTCATTCACTGGAGAGATGGCCCTTGAAATTTTGCCCATGTGCCCCAGAGCAGAGCCATCCTGTCTCCTCAGGGCTCCCTCCTCCAGCCCGTCCTGTGCAATCCAGGCAGCCTTATCAGCTTCAGCCTCAGCACCATCCACCCCATGATTATAGTTTTGTCTTGCAAGTGTCTGAGGTATGTCTTAGCTCGGAGGGCCTCAACTTTTATCTCTTTCTCAGACTGTTTTTCTCAGTACGTGTTTCTTGCAGACCTGTTTTTTTGTCTCTCACAAGTACGGGTCCCAACACCGACCCCTGAGGAACACCACTTGCCACTGCTCTCCATTCAGACATGGAGCTGCTGACTACAGCTCTGGGAGCGTGACCATCCAGCCAGTTCCTTACTCACTGAGTGGTCCATCCATCAAACCCATGTTTCTCCAATTTAGAAACAAGAATGTTGTGGGGGACAATGTCAAATGCTTTGCACAAGGCCAGGTAGGTGGTGTCTGTTGCTCAACATGAATAACTTATTCCAGCAAAGACTGGGTTTGTTACAGCTTCTGGATCCAGCAGCCCTACTCTGGGGCAGTGTCTCCACTTCACTGTGACAGAACTACACCAATATCTAGAAGCCAGTGTGCAGCAGCATTCAGTGAATAATCAAGTGGTTTAGTTTTGCTGTTTCGTAAGGGCTGAATGCAAGTAGGATGGTAACACTGAGGTAAGTCTTAAAAGAGGCAGTATCAAAAGGACTTGTGTCAAAAAGGAGGGATTATGGGAAGGAAGAGTAGTCATCTCTACCAAGAACTTGCACCTTAGCCACAGGTGTAGGGTTGCAAGAAATCTCAGTATTACCCTATTCAAACAAAAAGGGATGGTAGTAGAACTGTTTCAGAGAGTGATATAACTGCTGGGAGATAAGAAACTTAAATTGCTAGCTTTGTCTTTGTTTTCAAGTACAGCTAGTACTTGAAAGTCCTAGCTGTAGCTCTAAGTGGGGGAAAAAAAAAAACCAAACAACAAACCCAAACATGCAAACATGTTGGATTCCTTCTCTCTCCCAAGTTTCACAAACTTAAGACAAATGAGTGATCCTATGTAGTGAGTTAGCTGTATGGAAAAACAAATTAAACAAAAAGATCAAGTTATGTGAAAGAACTTAAAATTTGCTAATTTTCTCTTCAGGATACTTATCTCACACAGTACCACTTCTCTTTTAATGAAATCCAGTGAGAAATTAAAGGTATGTGGTACTGCTTAAGGAATAAGAGAAAATAAACTACTAAAAAGTCAGTGTTGAGACAGATCTTAATCTTTTATGTTTCTAATGACCTTGAGATTGCCCTCTTTGCCACTGACCTAGCATCTTGTTCAGATGTTTTCCCCCTCAATAGAAGTGATAAATCCAAACTGCTACTGGTGAAAAGCTTCCACATTATTAAAAGTCCATGTTGAGGCTTCAGTGAGATACAAGAATAATACCTTATCTATATTTCTTCCTTAATTGGATCTTTCAAGCTAATAAACTGAACCCTACCACATTACCAGTGACTGATGGCCCAGAATGCTGACTGTAGCCCTCTGGAGATTTTCCCTGTGCTTCAGGAGCAGAGATGCTGCCCAAGCTTATCACTATAGCATTTCAAAGCGATAAAGCTACTGCACACCTTGAAGGTAAAGGTGAGTGCTGTTTCATCTGTGTCATCTCTTAGGATTCAGATCAGAGATGTGAATGCTGTTTGATAAGCATGAGTCTATGTTACCTGCCAGTTTATTTCAGATAGTTCAGCAGACTTAACTTTTCTGTGGGACAGATGAGAAACTGAGAGGGATTTTAACCACTGAATAATTTTCCCTTATCCACCACCTGTCACTTTCTTAGAAGAGGAGGTACAGAGACTGTTAAACTATTTTGATAAAAAACTCAAGGATATGAACAATAAAAACATGTCAAGGAAGGAAGATGACTGCAGCTCTGTAGCACTAGCTGAAAATAGGGTGTTATGCCCATGTTACCATTATCCAAAACATCTGGTTTGATCAAAGGACCCAGAAGAAAGAGCAGGCAGACATACGTAGACAAATAAATGTGAACACACTAATTTAGAAAGACAGATGGATAAAAACATTTAATGAGAGAAAGCAAGTCAGGCTCTCTTCTGCTTGTCCTTAATAATCTGAGGAAAAAAAAGTTTAGAAAAGATAGAAGCTTCTAAGCTACACTGGGGAAATTTTCTGATACAGATTTTTTTATATACAAACCCTTAGATTGCATGCCTATTTTTTGCAATATCTGTATTAGGATTGGGACTGCTGAGAAAGCACATTCATCCTCTCACAAGCATGGTGTGTTCTAAATGCAATTCTCCTGTGCATTCATCATCTCACAAGCATGGTGTGTAGTCCCTCCAAATGCGTCCCCTAAGACTGTGTAGGCTTCTACTAAGAGAGGTCTGTCTTGTATTCATGTGGGTCAGGCTTTCAGCAGCCTGTAGTGGAAAACAAAGGGGAAGTTCATTGTTAATACATGAAATCTGTTCTTACTGTTCCCTTGTATCCTGGCTAACAGAGTCTGGTCTTCTCAATCAGCTTTATAACCATGTAATACATGCAAATCCACATGTTGATACTGTCATTTTTATGTTCTGCCCCCTTCCACTTCTGGAAACCAGGTGCCTACCTGACTGCAGCTGTTAGACTCTGATACCAGTCATTAATATCTTGTTGGTCACTGGACATCAACAGCAGTGTCTTGTGTGGAAAGGAAAGCTGAAAGGCAAACACAATCTGGTACCACTTTGTGGCATTCCTTACCAAGGCAGCAACTCTGATAAAAGGAGTGTCATTGGTACTGAGCTCAACTCAGCCTTGCACACTGATTTCCACTATTTTTTCCCAGATAGGAAAATTTAGCATTGGTACTGGGAGAAGCCAGAGGCTGGATGGTACGGAGCAAGTGCCAGTCTTGTCCATTCCTTCCAGCCACATGTGACAGCTCACTCAGACTTAATAGGGTGTTTGGAAGTGGGTAATTACACAAGTTCTCAGCAGCTCTTCATCCAGCTTGCTCCCATACTCTGAGCTGCCCCTAGGGGTCCTTCCACTACCACCATCTACAGATCACAGCTTGCCTGAAGTCTTCTGTGTCACAGCTAACGAGGAAGGAGGTGACACAGCCCCCCGGTGCTGCAGCATAGGAAGACCTGAACTTGAAACCCCTAACTAAGGCATCAGTCTGAGCCACAGACCCTGCAACCCTCAGGGAGTTAGATGCACGAGCAATATCTGTTGTGATAATACCCACACCTGTTCACATTATCTGTTTTTCAGGATTTTCTATAAATTCAATCCACAATCAAACACTACATATTCATTGTCACATGATTGTGGGGCTGTACCCTCAAACATGTGACTCTAATGAGGGCATGTCAAAGTCTTATTAGACCCTCCTCACCTAAACTAAGTAAAGCAACCAGAAACCTGTACCCCAGAGCACTCAGGAGGGCATACACCATGAAGGGAAAATGACTTGCATCACTCAAGGAGAAGGGCTGCTCTAACAGACTAGTTCATTGCATTTACCACTGTCACCACTCTCACCATCTCAGTCCTGGTGCTGCTGAGACAGCTAGAGACTCGCTGCACAATCCTGCTGCCACTGATGCTTCTGCCAGGCAGAAGTGTGAAGACTTACACTGAGGAGCCCTCCCTGGCTCTGCGTGTGGCCGAACACTTTATCCACTACGCACTGGTGAAGTGGGTAGACAGCCTGGCATGCCAATTTGTTCGAGTTCAGCAGGTGTAGTGGGTGGCAGGGCTTCGTTTCAATAAAGATATCAGAAAAAAGGAAGAACATCCTGCGCTTCAGTTCTCCTCCCTTTGAAGGCACCACCAAAAGCCAGCCTTCCCGGATATACCAGCGCCCTAGGCATGCAAGGAAAATAAAGACACTTGTCAGATCACTACTGGAAAAAAAGAAAAGTACGTAATGAGACAAAGAGGAATACAGTAAGCTACCCTTGTAGGTTAGCAGGTTCTACATCAATTCCAGCCACTAAAAGGCACTATCAACTGAGGTCAGATCACCAGCACTCATAACACCCATGCAAAAATAGTAAATCAGCCCAAGACTTTTAGTATGTGAGGAGCAGGCTGAAGTGGTTATAATTCCACTATGTTAATTAAGAGGACATTATCATACACAAGGCTGTTTAAAGCAAACAAAACACAAACATGGTTTGAAAATGGTGTGCGTACCTTTAAATTAACATAGACCTTCAGAAAACATAGCAAACTATGAAATTGTATTGTCCAATTGTTTGTCATCAGTGGTGAAACAGAAGTTAGCCTAAGCATGAACATTTATTGTTTTACCCTTGTTTTGTTTGCTTGTGTGTGCCAATTTAAACCAAAAAAGTTTCACATTATCTAACTATATACAGACGTCCAGTAGTTAACATGTTACAGAGATTACAGAATGCAGATTACTGTTCTAATGAGAAGACAGCAAAGGGGATACAAAACAATGTATTAAAAGGAAGGTCTAAATAGGCAGCCCCATCAGCCTCTCACAGAATAGGGCCCAGCATCATCTACCCATTAAATGAACTGCAATAAAATAAAACGCAGTGAAATCAGCAGGAAAAAAGTCAAAACAATTTGATAAACCTAACTGTAAGGAGCAGTAAAAAAGTGGCATCTACACAAATGGAATAAATAAAGCAGTGCCTCTAACTAGAAGGATTATTGTACAAGACACCAACTGATGGGAATTATGAAGACTCTGACAGTAAGTTCATCTATAAAAATTTAAAGTCATAGTAAGGTATTGTCATCTGACCTGGTCTGAGAAATGCCTACCAGAGAATTTCAGCCACTGTTTTTTGTGCCTTAGGTTCTAGCTGAGCTAGTAAGTACCTTTTAGAAAACAACACAATTTCGTTTTAATTATGGATTGTGTCTCAGTTCATATGCCACAGTCACAAAACATAGAGGCAAGTGAATTCCTGCTTAGTTTACTCCACAGGAACCACTTATCTTATCTGAATAAGGAACTGAGAAAGACAAGGGTGAGATGCAGGAATCAGTCCAAGCTTAAAACACCAATGGAAGGAAGGTGTCAGCAGTGTGGGGCTGGACTGGGAACTGTTTCCCTCAGGCTAAGCTGTGATCAGACTCCCTGGCATACATACAACCTGAGCTGCTACAAGTCTTGGGATACAGATCTGTGTTAAGGAATACCAGAGGCATGTGATTTAGGAAATTCTTATGAAAGAAGGACAAGGAAATATCCCTAGGGAAGCTAGGGATGACCGAACAGTGTGCTATGTTAAGAAGGCATTTCCAGCTAAGATTGTATTTGCCCTATATATGGAAGGCAGCAAGGAAAGCAGGGTCTCTTTCCACTGGAAGCAGCACATCTCAGAGACACTGCCAAATGTAAGATACCCAACTCCAAAGCTACTGTTTTTCTGAATCTATAGCATTGTTTTCTCACATCTTTCCTCCTAGTAAAAGGATGCAATCTTAACAGCTCTGCAAAAGCTAGCTTGTTTTAGTTCAGCTTTCCAGAAACTAGAAAGCCCCAGCTGCCTCTTACTTTTCTGCTTCTCACATCCAATAGTACCTATTTTACTCCAGCTAATGGAAAACACAACCATCACAACTCTGTCCTAGATAATGAAAAGGTGTCTATAGACCCTAAACACTTGTTCTACTATGTCTCAACATTTGAAGACAAAAAAAAGAAGCAGGCCCAATGCTTTCAAATGATGGCTCTCTGGTCTAGCTATAGTGTTTGGAGGTTGCATTTTTTTGTCATTGGGTTATCTTATTAGTCTTGTCATTCAGGATAACTCTTTTACCCTTTTACTTATGCACTACCCCAGTGTGCTCAGGCACCCACACACATGCTTATGCTCAGTGTAAGCAGAGTACACGTTTGTTAGCTCCTTTTCAGCTACCATCACCAGAAAGATTTTAAGAGAAATAGGAAAGAGAATTGTAAATTAATTTTCCCATTGACTGAGGATCTTTGAGAGTAACTTCTGATAAATAACCTCTTTTTCTACCCATGCTAGTCTGTCTGGGTTAGAGTTCATTGTCTCCATAGTAGCTGGTACAGGGTTGTTTTGGATTTGTGCTGGAAACAGTGTCGATAACACAGGGATGTTTTAATTATTGCTGAGCAGTGCTTATACAGAAGTCAAGGCCTTTTCTGCTCCTCACACCACCCCCCCAGACTAGACTGGGGTGCACAAGAACCAGGGAAGGGACATAGGTGGGACAGCTGACCCCAACTGACCCAAGGGATACTCCAGACCATATGACATCATGCTCAGCATATAAAGCTGGGGGAAGGAGGAGGAAGTTCAGGAATTTTGGAGTGATGGCACTTGTCTTCTCAAGTAAATGTTACATGTGATGGAGCCCTGCTTTCCTGGAGATGGCTGAACACCTCCTGGCTGATGAGAAGGAATGAATGAATTCCTTACTCTGCTTTGCTTGTAAGAGTGGCTTTTGCTTTACCTGTTAAACGGGTTTTACCTCAACCCACAAGTTTCCTTACTTCTGCCCTTCCAGATCTCTCCACCATCTCACTGTAACAAAACTCCACATGTATCATGTATGAATTACAACCACATTCACAAGTACCTGGAGGTGTGCCTTAGAGACTTTTACACAAGTCACTGTGCAGCTGCAGCACTGCTCCTTCAAAGTGTTTAGTGAGGGCACAGGTGAAGCCCCAGGTGACCATTTCATAATTTTCCAGACTGGATACATTTCTTACAATATTCCATACATAGTTCCAAGCATGCTCTGGGCATGGAGAGTCCCCAGTCACACCAGAGGTCATAAAGAAACCTGTTACCCAATTAGAGTATCTTACATGCCTGTGACTGTGACATTATGTATCTTAGCTATCAACGGAAATACTCTGATTTCTGGCTTAGTTTAAACATGCAATTAAAACCATACTTCATGTGAGGGGTGCAAGCGAAGTCCATGAAGCTTGTAGCTTCGTGTAGCTTGGGCCCTTGACACTCAGAAATCTGTAGCTGCTGCAATGGAGTAGGGACAACACCACTACTTACACTCTTCCAGAATTATTCAATGTCTGTCTTTTATTCTCACCCAGGACTTACACTCCTGATCTCTTCAGGTTTCTGTTACTAACTGTCTAACTACATGTCACCAGTTCCTCCTATGTGAAAGTCAGGCAGCTAAGCTGCTGATTATCCTTACTCAAAAATTCTTAAGAAAAAAAAAAAGTGCTTGAATTACTAGTTATATTCCTCCACCATCTATCTGTAGAATTTGGGCAGAAAGGGAAAACAGGTTAATATGAGTTGAGTCAGAGATGAAGGCAAGCATATATCCTCCAGTTATCTCAGCTTGGCAGAAGAAAAACAGAGCTGCCAGTAAGACCCACCTGGAGTAAAAACCTGGGTCTTCTGTCCTTTGAGCAGTTTCTGAACCCGAAGTAGCTGCAATGAGTTCTCTCTCTTATGAATGATGTCTTGGACCCACTGAGATACCTCAGAAACAGATTTCACAGCCTCTGAAATTATAGCAGTATATTCTGAGGTTATCACAAATGAATACTTATTACACTTTATATATCTTGCTGTGAAGATAAGATGAAATTAAGCAGCAGATGTTTTAAACCAAGTATCAGCAACAGATTTATTCAGTAATTTCATCAGGAATTGGACTGCAGAAATGTTGATTGGAGAGAGGGCTCTGCAGTTCTAGAAAAACATTTATTTGCCAATGAAACATTAGACAGAGGAATAATTTCTTGCATTTGGAAGCAAAGCCAGGAAAAATACCCCACAAGTGGT